CAGATTGAAAGGTGACCCTGTCATGAAGTTGATGGCTGAGATGACCCGTCCTACAACCTGAGCCACCTTATTTTTGACAGCGAGCAAGTCTAGCACATCTTTATCTGAATAAGACCGTATTTCACCTCAGAGCTTGAGCCTGTCTCGGCCCTGAGTCCCGGGCTGTGCGAAGACTTTGTTTCCCAGCCGATGCCGTGCGCATCCGTCTGCCAGGCGTGGCAAAGCTTGGGAAAGGCAAGCATGGAGTTCTGAGGGTCACGGGCTTCAGGTCCCCAGAGGTCCACGAAGACGGAGAGCTACTCGACTGCTCTCGCATCTCTCTCAAAGGCAGGTGCCTGCTGCATCTACTGTAGAGACCCTAACGATCCACCCCATCAACCAAGCTCGGACTGACAGTACTTCAGGCGTTGCAAAACGACACCTTGCCAGCTCTCACGTGCCCGCCTGCGTTTCTCTGTACAGCGACGAGATGTGCATGAGCTTTTTCCTCAGGTCTACGCACATGTGTCCCAGAGTCCGACAATACTGCCAGGCATAGACCATCTAGACCATCCCCCCACTGCTGGACCACCAACCGCCCTGAAGTAAAGTCTATTTGCAAAGCTCTATACGTGGCAACTCTCAGGTAGAGCACTTCTGCTCATACTGAGACAAACGGAACATCTGGAAAGCCAACGACGAGAATGCACTTGCGCCGCAGGCATAGCTGAAATGAGCAGAATGCTTTGCGACTTCGTGATTCTAAGCATGCGGTTCTCTGTACGTCTGACACTTAAGCAAACTTCTAATTCGCTTCATGTCTGTATGTATGTGGGCAAATGTATACATACATATAAGTGCATAGATTGGAATAGATGATGATACAAATATGAAACAATTGCATTCGAACCGAATTCGGCACCTTGGTCGGCGCCATGTGTGTCTCAAGGCCAAGTGTCGGAATGCACCCCACATTGACGCAGGTGCCACCAATGCCCTGCACAATCAAGCAGCAAAAGCGTTACAACAACAGAGAGTCGGTAGTTAGGAGGATGTCGGGAACGAAAGTGAACACAACAACGAAATGATGCTGCGGTCATACCAGTCATACCAAGTCCCTCCTCCTCGTCCTCATCAGCAGCATCAGTATCATCACATCATCACCATAAGCATCACCACCATTATATCATTATATCTTTATCATTATCATTACCATAATCATCGTCGTCATCATCATTACGCGTCAATCTTCGCTTCTTGCATCCCCTTCCGGGGCCCCCGCCCAGGTGGTCCCTGCAGGCGACGGCTTCACGAAGTCGGCGACGGCGACCTGCAAGGCTCAGGGCGGCTCAGGGCGGCTCAGGGCGCTGCAAGGCTCAGCTTCATTTCTCCGGGCCACAGCAGAGCCCTCCAAACCCAACACAAGCTGATCCAAAGCATTCCGGAATGTTCCGGAACACCGTGTCACCAGTTCTGATAGCTATGTCGCTGTCGTCAAGGTCTTTCTTGCCACTGATGAAAAGGTCAGGAAGTCAAATCGGATGTTCACCACTTTTCCCGAATCACTGAAGCTGTCCAGCTCGCAAGCTCAAACCTTTGAGACACGAATGCATGCATGGGATGGCTCTTTCAGCTTACTCTATGCCGCATGACCTCACACAGACGGCCCAAACCCAGCGCCCAAAAGCATCAGCATATCCCAAAACTTGGTTTGTTACTTTGACATGGCCGTAGTAATTCAAGCGAGTTGCTTAGGTCACTACGGTGGAATCAACCTTACTTCGTCGCATGATAAACTGACCAACGGGAACAAAAATAAGGGGGAACCTCTTATGGAACCCTCAACATCGGGATCCCTAAACAGAAGGATGATAAGCCCATATAAGCCCCTAAACCCTAAACTTTAGGGCCTAAGGCCCTAAACCGTTAAAACCCTGTCTTCCGCCAGCCTTGGCACCCAGGTCGCTGGCCGCCTTCGTCGCAGCGAGGCCGCCAGACCCGCCGCCAATCACCTTGGATCTCGGGAGTAAAGGCATGGGGCTTTGAGTATAGTTGTATGGGTGATCTCGAGAATATGCCAAAAAAGGCTACTATAGTTGTATGGGACCATTATAAGATTTACAAGGGCTTCTCAAGGGATCACGTTTCCAGTACATACCGGCGCCAGGGAACACTCCGGACACGAACTAACGTTGAGTCGTGCGAGGGCCGCGAGGGCCGGCGCATGGTACAGAGTGGACCCGTCTTCAAGTGCGAGCGAGCTGCGAAGAGGTCATAATCATACCTGACAGGACACATCTCGCAAATCTCAACCTCCCTGCCCGTGACGTGGTCGGTTGCCGTCGTGCTATTTGGAGGTCGGAAGTATCGTGTCAACTTTGTTCTGAAAGTAGAGCTGGAGTGTCCATCATCGCATGAATGGATGGCAAATACGGCGCCCTCACATGCACACCGCTGCACACCTCAACGAAGTCCAAGCCCTCAAACCCAAACTCCAAGAAGCCAAAGTGCTCGGCCATGGCGCCACACAGCGCCACCGGCCCCCCCCCCAAAACGAAACGCTGCAGCGCGAAAGAAGAGGAGGCTTCGGGCTCCAGGCCTCGGGGTGTTGGGTCTTGCGGTTACTACTGGTAGTACGTATTCTCGTTATGTTTATGTATGCTTATGATCATTACTGATTGCTAGGGGAATTTGGTCATCAGCATTCATCAGCGCGACCATCACGAAGACTACTACGATTGCCGTTCGTTGCTGTTACCATTACGCTTACGCTTACTCTTGTTCTCACTCTTCCTTTTTACTCGTACTCTTACTTTTACTTTTACTCTTACTCTTGCTCGTACTCTTACTCTTGCTCTTTCTCTTGCTATTGCTGCTGTTACTACTACTGCTACCGCTACTGCTACTACTGCTACTACTATCATGTTACTATTACTATTAAGCGAACTGTCGATGTGTGTGACTGGGATAGACCAGACGAGACTCGGAATTGACGGCGTCAAGAAGTCTACTAACGACGGCAAGGGAAGGCTGGAAGATCACCTAACACACCAGGGCATAGCAAAACAAAACAAAGTAGAGCAATTAGAACAGAACATCAGAAGCCAGCAACTTGAGCTTCTGAGCTTGGCCATTGGTCGCAATTCCGAACATGAAAGCCGCGAATGCAAAGCGCCACGGCTAGAAGACGAAGGATGGTCGGAGAACTTCACTGCAACTATCCTTTTGCCCTCAGCCAGCACACGTTCGAGAAGCTAGTGGGCACCTTGGGCACCGGTCAAATCAAAGGTGGGCATGTTCATTCATGTTCAGAATTTTCGAAATCTTTGGGAATGTGAAGGGCAAAGGGCTCAAACAATCGGGGACTTTGCAGATATGCAACACCCATTCCTTGACGTGGGGTGTAGGGTTCGGTCTGGGGAGTCCTGACACGAGAAACTGCCGTTGCGGATTTTCCTGCGAATTCACAGTCGCCCCAGAGATCAGGTCTGCAATGAGTTCCTTTCCGAACAAACTATCGCCCGAGACATTGATGCTTGTTTTTGTTATGCACTGTATAGAGGACCACTGGCAGGTGGTGGTGGTAGCGATGGTGGCGGTAGTGGTAGCGGTAGTGGTAGTGGTGGCGGCAGCGTTAGTGCTATTGTGGTGGAAGCGGAAGTGGAAGCGGCAGTGGTAGTGGTAGTGGTAGTGGTAGTGGTAACGGTAGCGGTAGCGGTAGCGGTAGTGGCAGTGGTAGTGGTAGTGGTAGTAGTGCAGAAGCAGCAGTTGTGGTAGTGGTAAGGAGGAGGACGAGGAGGAGTCGTTTTCGGGCAGAGCGCGTTGTTAGCGCGACAGCAGAAAAGAATCCACACCATACAGTAAGAAGAAATATTGACACCACGACAGAAAACAACTTTATCACGACAGCGCATGAAAGCCTCACCACGACAAGGCATGAAAACCTCACCACGACAAGGCATGAAAACCTCGCCACGACAAGGCATCAGCAACAGCAGCTGCAGCAGCAGCAGCAGTAGCACACATCAGCAGCAAAACACATCAGCAGTACCTACTCTGGTTTTTCCGAGGTGCTCGGTGGCGTCAGCGCTTTGGGCGCAGGGACTTGGAAAAGCTCCTCCAGCCTGAGAAACGGCCACGCAGTGACGAGAAATAGATGCAAAGTTGATGGGGATGTGATGCTTCCGGGGCCGGAGCATGTGTATGCTGTGTCCCGGAGCAGAACAACTAAGCGCAGAACTTCTTGAGAGTGGTCAAAGGGTTGGCATCATCAATGCCTCAGGGCTTGCAGGACTCTGACAGTTTGGTGATGCTAGCCTGCTTGCTCCCAAGTTTTGTACTACATTCACAGGGGTTCGGAGTTCGGAGGCCCTCAAACTTCATTGTCTCAGCCTAAGAACTCTCAGCAGTTTGTGGGTGTGCACATGGGAAAACGACAGGCGGCAGCATGGGGCAAAGTGCGGGTGATGTCGGACGAAGGCTGGTCTTGCAAGCCACAGCACTAGTCTTGGACGGCAACGCACACTGCGGCACGGTTTGAACATCACATAAGCCCGCAATCACCATTCAGGCAGGGAGCTGTGACCCTTGGTCCTGGGATCAAGGCACAGATAGAATCGAGCTTTCTGCCGGTAACCAGATACTACATGGACATGAAATCGCGGAGTCAGCACCCTCACAGCACTCTGCGCGACTGCTGAGGCAACCTGCTTGCACAGTACGAATGATTGAATTGAAACCGCCATATCTCTGCAAAAGGCAATCATACGTTTCGGGCGTATTTTGGGACTCGTGGCTGGGCGGTCTGGAAACACTCACCGCTTCGCACAGATCTTTGCCGTTCGCACTATGTAGAACCATTCTTGTTCGGAGAAAGCAACACAGGGACAACGTTCACGACAACAAAGCCCGTTGCAGCAGTTTCCGTTGCTATGACTGTGAACATTTGTCATTTGGCTTGTCGCCAATGCTTCAACTCCTAAGGGTATCATCCGTTGCTGCTTGCTGCTATTGCTGGCACGTCAATCATTCATAGTGACTGGTGGTTGCGGTTGCAGTGGTGGTCGCACTCGTTGCAGCAGCAGCAGCAGCAGCAGCAGCAGCAGCAGAAGCAGTAGTGAGGTGCAACTTCGGCCGTCGAGAATCCTGGGGTGAGTATAGATCTCGAAATCGTTGCCACCCTCGAACCTCACATGGAGGAGTCACAGAGAGTGTTTGCTAGAACCGTCCGCACAGCTCGCTCCTGCCTCAGAAGAAGCTACAGCAAATTCTTCGGAGGCACGTCTTGTCACCGAAAAAATGGATCTCATCGAAGTCTGCTTCTGGCAGGTATCGCAGGCAGTAGGTTTTGTCCCACCCGGTCCTCAGCATGGCAATCTGGGCGCCGAAACGAAGGAGCAGAAAATTCGCTGAAACTTCCGGGCGGCGGGAAGACGTCGAAAGAAATCTGCCCACCTGTTGGGGTTTCAAAGGGCTGCTGTGGTCATCCCGAGTCATGCCCAGTTAGGGTGGCTAGGCGGATGAAGAGTCGACCACTTACGGGGAAACATCCCTCAAAAACCCTGTCCGAAACTGGAGAGCTCACCGAGAACTAGACTCCCCCTCAGACTTCACCATCTGAAGATGGAGAAGTTGCCAGTTGTCGACGACGAATCTGCGAGGTTCCCGGGTTCAATACCCTTCCCCGAGGCACCTATGGAGTAGCTCAGGTTGTAGTCTGCAAACTCCTCCTTCAGCTTGGCAACCATCGTCTCGGGCAGCAAGCGAAGCAAGATTCGGACTTCGGCCGTCTGTTTCGGAGTGTAGAGCGGGGTTTCGATTCTGGATCAGACTCCGGTGTGGGTGCTAGGCGAAGGTTTTCACATTTTCAGATAAAGTATAGCCGCCAGGTCAAACACTCATGCTCACATTCATCATAGCTCACAGCATGGCCTTCCGGATGTTGTTTGCCAGGTCGAACTTTTCGAACTCGTTACCTTACATCGGCATCTTTCGGGGGAAAGATCATAGAGCATCCCAGACATTCCCAGCTTCTGCCCAAAACTGGCGATACAACTCACAGGTCGACCTCGGGCACTTGCTGCACAAGATCTGCGATGTGTATACAAACTGTCTTGACCCATCAACGACGCTCTTGACCCGAAACCGCAAACAACACTCCGACTGCTAACCAGCTACCAGACATGTTGGTGCAAACATGAACACCCAGCACAAGCACTTGTTCTCTCGCACACGTAGCATTGAAATTATCAGCAGTAGCAGCAACATTGCCCCGGTAGCCCAGCAGTAGTGATGGCCGTCGTCGTCGTTGTCGTAGTCGTAGTCACGCAGTAGTCGTAGTCGTAGCTGTAGCCGTGGTCCTAGTCGAAGTCGCCACGACAGTCGGTGGACTAGTAGTCGTCGCGGCAGATCTTAGTCGTAGTCCTCGTCGAGGAAGAAACCGCAGTCGTAAAGCCGCAGTAGTAAGAGTAGCAGCAGGAGTAGGAGCAGCAGTAGCCGTCGTCGTGGTGGTGGTGGTAGAGGAGGCGTGGTCTTCGAAGAGGTAGCAGTAGGCAGAGGAAGTGGTGAAAGTAGTGGTATTAGTGGGAGTGTCTGCAGCATCAAAGCAATGGCAACAGTTGCCTCTGGCTGCTGTGGCATCGGATAGCAAGTGCTAATTGGGCCACTTGCCTCACCTCCGGTTCCGGAAACACTGACTTCTGTCGTCACACCTGCCCATTTATCTGGATTGCCGCAGAGACCCTCTCACAAGCAAAATGGCACAAAGGCATACAGATGGGTAGGCTATCATGATTTGTGAGATTCCTACGACCGCCTGAACACATGTGCCATATAGGTTGCAATGATTATGAGAGTCATGCTTTCGAGTATTCTCAGCATTTCGGATTTCATTAAACACTGATTCATGTCAATGGGTGCGAAAATCACTGCTCTGACCACTGCACCACTGTATCAGTCTCAGTTCATGATGCTTCTTGCCCCCAGTGCTATGACCAGACTCCGGATGGTGACGGCACTTCCGCGTGCGAACCTAGACTCTGCATTCCTTACCCAGCACACCCCGAATACTCCCGATGTTCGCGGCAGGAGGCGCTCTTCTCGGCTGCAGTTGCGGCCAATCGGAGAAAGGTTCAGCATGCCCTCGCGCGCAAGTTGGGGTCTGCTTGTTCAACTTCGCAGTTGATGTTCTGCCCGGTGCACGCACACGCTAGCGATTTCAGCTGGTGGAAAAAGAAAGCATGCGTGGCAAATAACTTATGCGTCAAGGTGGCCAACAAGTTAAGGGCTCCTGTGATTTGTCGGTTTAGGGTTTAGGGTTATCAAGCTCGAAACCCCAATCCCCCACACGTGGATGAGGATGACCGCTTCCCCGACTGCACTGGCAAACACGCGGCACTGCACGACTTAATTCAGTCAGTAAGTCTTCCGCCAGCCGAGCATCATGGTGCACATTATGACCTCCGTTGTGATCGCACCAACTATGACGACGAGAAGGAGGCGCAACGAAAACAAAAAGTGCAACGACAGCGGTCACAACAGCAGCCACATCACCATCATCATCGTCATGATCATGATCATCATCATGCACATTGTCAGCGTGAGCGACATCATGGCGTTTACCATCAGGACCATTGGCAACAAACAGCAGCCAGTACCGCACCGCATTACAACCAGCATCACCGATGCCCAGAATCACCATCAGCATCTTCATAATCACCACCATCAGCGCCATTACCTTTGTCATCATCATTAACATAATCATAACCCTCATGTTGTGCCCATTGTCATCCTCACCATCCTAATCTTGGAAAGCAAGGCCTTGCGGAACTCCACAAAGGTGCCACGCTTTATGGGAATATCAAGTTCTGCAAAGTACCTCAGCTAGGACCAGTGCGCGTGGAGACTTGCAATACATCAGTGTGGGAAGGACCTGGGCTCGCAAGAAGATTTGTGGCTTGTTGGTTGGTGTGATGACCGGCGTCATCTTATCCAAACGACATGGGGGCTTCGTAATGAGAATATGTACATTACACAATTATACGGGAAGAGTATCCCCGAAGTCGGACCAACCTCGCGAAAGCTTGGAGCTCCAGGGCGGAAGAACTGGAAACTGAAGGGGGGGTTGTAGGTTGAGGGTCAGGGTCTGTAGCTGACACTCTTGAAGTCATCTCCGACGGACTTGAAAGCCGGCAGCCGAGCCCTCACCCCTTACGACCGAATGAGGCAGTAAGTGCAAGTCTCAGGGGCTTCAGAACCCAGTTGATCAGCTTCTTCAGCTTCTCCTGGCCCACGAGTCAAGGGCTACAAAAAGCATTAAATATTATATTATATAAGTATATTATAATTATAACATAACTAGGAAAGACGGCTTCAAAGTCGAAGATACCGAGAACTCACCAGACGTCGGGGAGATGATCGAATTCAAGTTTGGCCCCGGGACGGACGCACATAGCAACAAAAGGCCAAACACTTGACCGCTGCATACCAGGCACACCTGTACCCTGCCTTCTGGCTTGGTCATCAAACTCTCTGAAGCGTCTTGCAACCAGAAAGCTTGCCTCATTGTGTGACTTATTCGCGCAAATTGCACCTCGCTTGGAATCGTCTTCAAATCCCGCACAACTGCCGGGCCTCCGAACTCTATGCCAGAAGACAAAGAACTGAGCTGCTGTTGGACGAACGATCCTGATAATCAAAATTCAATTATACCCCTTGAGCTTCGGAGTTCCGCAACTGACGCCGTGCTGCCTCGCCGAGATGCTGTGTTATCGATGTTTCGCCGATCTTCTCCCCGTCCTGACAGGGCTATCACTGCGAGCGCCTTGCAGCCTCAACGGAGCCTCAATGGAGCTTCTCTCGGCTTCCAGGGCCCAGGGCCAGAACGAGCTCGCTCTTGCCGGTGCGGCGAAGGCTGGGCCGGCCTTGTAGGCCAGCAAGCCATTCTCGGAGAAGCAAAAGTCAAACAGGTTGGGACCTTGAGTGCTCATAGGCTGCAGGCTACAAAGCCCGCCAACCGTTACAGCAGCCATTTTGCTCGGCAAGTCCTCTAAGGCCTCTAAGGCTCGGATATGGTCTGACACAGCAGTCCAAGTGGCTATCTCCAAGCTGTTCCTTCTGCTTGGCAAGGTCGGAGCCACCGACGACCCCTATGCTGATCTTCTCCCGCAGAGACTGCGAGGGCAGAGTGAGACTGGAGCTTGCTTAAGAGCGCCCGGGCTGCTTTACGGGAACCCTTTTCGCTGCACTCTCAGCTTCCTGTGGACCCGGCCTGGAGGTAGCTGAGGGTCTCAGGCGACACCACCTCCACAATGAAGGGGCTGGAAGCGAGAATGGCCCAAGAAAAGCAGGGCGGAGCCAGATTTAATCGTGGGCTGGCCGGGGAAGCAGCTTCTCGACTTGAAGATGATGAGTTGGATTGCTTGCCTTACGAGGCTCCGTCAGGGTGCCATCGACGTCGAAGAGAGCCAGAATGCCTTGGACGCTGCAGGAGGTGCAACAGCTCGTGGACTGGCAGTGGGAGATGCGAGAGAGAGTGAGAGAGAGAGAGA